GCACAAGGATGAACCCACAAACCCTATTTTGCCTAATTTCGCATAAACTCAATATTTGACCTAAACATAGGAAAGTTAACCCTAATAACTTTTTATTTGATTTCCACAAATCATTTTTAAATTATGCTTTTATTAAAATCATTTAAATCCACGTAATACCCTTATTCTGTGCCACGTGGTTATTAAAGGATACCTCAGCATGTCACCAGGCAAGAAAGCTAACGCCGTCCACAGCAATTAACGACAAGGGCATTATTGACTCAATATTACCAAAATAGAGACCCAATTGAGAACTTTCAAAATATGAGGACCCAATTGATACGAATTTGCAGAAATAGGGTCCTCCAAAGTGATTAAACCTAAATAAATAAATAAAATCTTTTCACATAAATATACACCCAATGCCTTTAAAGAGAAGTCTTCCTAGCCATAAGTGATTGTCCTCATACGGTAGCCTCCCCGACCAAAAATATACCGTATCATCCTTACAAGAGAGTCTCTCCGACCAAAAATGGAAGACATTGCTCTCACACAATAGCCTCCCTGACTAATGGAACAAATCATCCTTCTAAATAATCTTTCCAACTAATGGAACAAATCATTCTTTTGAGTAATCTTTCCAACTAATGGAACAAATAACTCTTCCAAGTAGCTCCTTGACTAATGAAGCAAATAACTCTTCCAAGCTACCTCTCTGCTGCTATGGTAAAACACATTCACAAACACAACTTTTCAAAATATATATCTTCATAAAACCCATCTTTTTAATCCATTTATTCCAAATACTTGTATAACATACCAAAACTTTCATTCTATAATCACATTTTTTAAGAACAAGTCATATCCTACAAAACAATCACTCACTTAATAATAACAACGAATAAACTTTCAAATTTGATAAACTACTTTTAATTTTCTTGAATTTAGTTTATCAAAAATAATATATATAAAAAAAATGTGTCACAACCCATTTTTTCTTATACCACTGTCAGAGTTTCAACAAATCTCTTTCTATCCCAAAACTTAATCAAACACTGCACCCCGCAAATTTACGCACAACACGCACTCACACACACATTTTATGTGTTTTTTAAGCAAAATAAAAACAATTCACTAATTTCTAATATACGAATCTTACATAAGAAAAATTTATATATAAAGATCTTTTCCATTATATAGAAGTTTTTTTTTATATATAACTTAACTTCTAATATCTATATATAATATCGTATGTAACAGGTCTATTACATACAAATCTAAATCGGTATGTAATAATTCATAAGTAAAAATATTTATGTAATTGAAAAGTTATTTTTAACATGTTTTTATATCTCAAACTAAATAAATCCAATTATAACAAATTTTATATAAAATATCTTATTAAAGTATAAAAACTAACTAAGAATCTATTATTAAAGGTCAAATAAGGACATAAATATGCACTTATTTTATCTTTAAATAGTGGACTAGTACGAATGTTGGATTAAATTTTACCTGAACATATTTAACATGTATTTTTCAGATGATATAAATCTATATTTCATTTGTTGAATCTTTAATGTATAAATCTATGTGTGGTTTTCATAATTTTTTATATATTGGTGTTTTAATGGAATTAGATTGCTTTTGGTTTGCTAATTACTATATTTCCTTGTATATTTTTTAAAATTAAAAAATTATTTCAATAATTTACTATTATAAGTGTTATTTATTTGTGATTTGCTATGATTATATTTTGTATATAAGCAAATATGGTGCAGAAGCTTTACAAGGATTGAAGTTTATTTGTTGACATTTTAAATAATTATATTTATATTCATATATTTTAAATTTGAAAGATTATATATCTAAAAGTGCTATTTTTACAGGAATAACTCATCTTTAACCTCATTTCTTGATTTTTTTTGTTTGTACACTTTTCTTTTCTAATCGCACAGTAGACATATTCTTCTTGAATGAAAATCATTTTCGCCAATCTGGATATAGAAATAGGCAATATCCTCTTTGTTTCCCTACAGCGATAACCTAAGTTTATCTTTCTAGAAAATTTAACGATGGATTTTGAAGCTCCATTATCTGAATGAAAGTACAATTTTATGCACAAGTTGTAAGATATTAGACATCATGATTGGGTTTGTCTTTGTCAAAGAATCCTAAACATTATTGATTATGGATATGAAAATGGTCCAAGTCAGCCATATCCATGTCTATGATCAACATTTGAACACCACCATGAAAATTTATCAAGATTTTATTGCCTCCAGGTCTATGTGTTTAAAATGTCACCTCTCATTTTCCAATTTATTTCAATTCCTTAATATTCCAAACACAAACTGTAATACTCTATGCATGACAGCTATTTTTTTAAAAAAAATATATTTATAATAAAACAAGTCTATGGAGCAGAATTAATCTTATTTACAATATTATAGAGTCACAAGTTCAATAAATATTAAACCTGAGGTCTATTATTTGATCATTCAATGACATGAGCATAGTGTTCTAATTATAAGTTAACTTTCAAGTTGTATTTTAGTCTAAATACATATACTCAATCTTGAACTAAATTTTTCTAATTTTTTTATTGATTTTAGTGTTTGTGATGTTTAAAAAAAGAAATTGCTCATATTTGGCATTTATTTACATGCAATATCGCTTATATTTCAAAATATATTGCTATGGCTTTAAAATTGTAAGTAAAATAGTTTATGCTCTAACATGTCATTGATACAATAAAAATAATTTTAAATATCTTAAATAAGATATTGATGATTAACCTTAATCATATTATTTTAAAAGACTTGATCTTGAAATAATATCAATGAATATTTTTTTTATGTAAAATTCAAACTTCTTCTTCATATGACTTAATTAATTAGATGTAAATAATTATTAATTAATAAATAAATGACCTAAAAATTAAATGTAATCATATTTAATTAACTAAAATCATTAGAAGTGAAAGTAAGAAGGAAAGAATTTAGTTAAACATTTTAAAATTTATGGAGAATGAACGAGATTTTATCTAAAAATAAGATTAATTTAAAATATATAAGTGAGTATAAATCTTGTTTTAAAAACTAATTTTATAAAATTGAGTAAGACTTAAAAACATTTTATTTTATAAATAATTCAAGACACTAAAGGTTTTTCATGATTAATTAATTACTTTTTGGTCCACTCATGTGGAATATGATTTATACAGCTAGCACATTATTTGTCTTGGTGTTTCATTCTCAATCACTCGAATTCAATATAAGAATAAAAATAATATGTGGCTATAATTTGATAAGGATATTTTTGTTGTGAGACATGTAGGGTGGGTGTGAAGTATGAGCATTTATCTAAGGAGATTTTTTAGGTGAAATAACGTTATCATACGAATGAGCTTGCAATAATTATTCTAAGGAATATCGTTCTTGTAGGTCCTCTACACTCAGATTCACCACTGCGCACATTCAATTTCAGGTCTTTCATTCTTCCTTTTTCTCTCTTTCACATGGATCACTACACCAAATAAAAAAGAAAAAAAATATACTCTCTACTTCGACTTCAACATATTTCAATGCGTTATACTTTCTTTTTTCCAACAAGAAATTTAATTAATAAAAAACAACACACTATGAAATCTTAGACGATACCTCAATTAAGTTTATTTTATATATATATTTAATAATTTTACTTGAACAAAATTTTTTAAATATAATTATTTTCTTTTAATTCTTTAATTTGTCTTTTAAAATGAAAATCCTGACAAAACTTTAAGCTTTTAAAAAGATAATAGTAATTAATCTTAATAATTCGATAAAAATGAATTTCAGCTAATTTTAAATGATATTATTTTTCTTGAAAGTTAAATTACGAATGTGTTGCATTTTAGTTATTTAAATAATATAACATTTTAAAGTATTTTCTTCCATTTATATTTTTTACTATTGTTTATGTATATAAAATTAAAGTACTTTTTTTCTTTTCAAAATGAAGTAATCCAAAAATCCAAGAGTTTGTCGTGTAGTGGGCAACTAGTGACAAACTTGAAACACCTTTATCACCAATGTGCAATGAACAATCAAAAGAGGTTTATAAACAGACAAGGCATCACTTTCCACAAATAATGAGTTATAAGTTCTTATCTAACTTAACCATAAGTCTTTCTCAAACTTTATGAAAATAATAATAATAATAATAATAATAATAATAATAATAATAATAATAATAATAATAAGAATAATTAATAATTAAGACTTATAAGAGGCACATTACACGTGCATCAACATTATCTTAACCTTTTTCGCTTAGTTGCCCATTTTTAGTAAAGTAAACTCTACACTAAATCGATTAACTTTTCAGTGAAGATATTTTCCTTTTAGTATCAATAAAATTATTTTTATTATTGTTATTTACTTTAAAATCTAATATAGTGTCATTTATAACATTATTTATTAATTCATGCAAATTTTAAACTAATTAATGATGCAGACATAATTTATAGTTTAAACCAATTAATAATATTCGTCTTTTGATCATTAATATCACTCCCATCTTTAATTATTCTTGGCTTTTAATCAATAATATCACTCAAGAAACTCCATGCTTTTTATCATTCCCTTGAATGTACGTTTAAAGAACTTCCTACCGAACTAATTTTGAATTAAAATGTTTTCAAAAATTAATTCTTGTCACAAAATTTAAAATACAATGTTTACTCCATTAAATTTTTAACAGAAGACTAAATATATAAACATTTATTTAAAATAACATAAATGTAAACGAAAATTTAAATAACTCTATAAAACCTAGCTCACAAAGGTAACAAACAAGTTAATTTGATATAATATTATAAGAGATTCAACACATAGATATATCCACTGATAAGATTTTGTCGGATCAAGTCTTCACAAATTTGCTTTTAATACCATTTCAAAGCCTCCTACTAATAAGGAAAGTATCTTGTATGAGACTTTGTATCCTAACAATATATATATTCACAAGAAATTTAGTGAAGGAGAAAACTTTTGTCACAACAAATCAATATTGAATCAGATCTCTCTAATAATCCAATAGTGCATCTGTATAAGACTGGAGCTGAAATGAGAATGTTACAAATAGCAAACTCAATAGTAGAAAGCCTTCCAATGACATGCAGGGAGTTAGAGATTACTCCCTAGTCCCTAGAAGAAACTGAGACAGCCAAGAATAGAAACATGTACGTAGCTGATGAAATGAAGCTTCAGTGCAACGTGTGAGAACTTAGAATCATACCAGAAAACAATGGAATCAATGTCTCTAAGTTATTGGCAAAGAGTAAACAATTATTCAAGGTGCCTCCGGCGTCTAGAAAAAGTACTGCTGATCTTATGAGAGTGTTGCATGTGAGAAAAGCTTATGTCTGGAACAAACAGAAGACTATCAGATGAATACTGAAGGTGTTTTGGCCAGTGTAACCCAGAAGCTGTTGGTGGTGAAGGGATCTGTGGAACTGTCCATGAAGAATCTGGAACATGTTCCAAATACTCCTCCTCCTCCTTCATTTCCTCCGGAGAATCAGAATCCCCTAACTTACCACTGTCAGCCTGCACATACTCATCAAGAAAGGAATAGGTGAAAAAGAAAATTACGCAACCATCAACCATAGAGATAAGACTATAACATAATCAAAGTGCAACCTAAATGGAAAAAGTTGATGAAAGTTAGGAAAAAACACATGATGTATACCGAAGGTATTTTGCCTAATTATCAGTACATTGTAAACACTCAGTCTCAAGGAATGTGAACATAATCAATTGAATGAGAATAGTCACAAGGTAAAAAAATATCATGTTTTTAAGTACTCAATGGTGTTTTTTGTTAATTGATCACCACTAGTGTCATGGTAATAGCTCTTTGTAACCTTTAAGATGTTGATTTTTATTAATCTTTAGGAATTGTGTTTCAAGGGAAAGCCAACTGTGTATTGCACTTCTGAAAGGTCAATATTTCAAATGTTAAAATGGATCTACAAATATGGGAGAGAAAGAAACCGAAATGCACTTCAATCAATCAATCTGTCAGATTCCAATGCTTGAAGTCTATTGAATGTAACCTTTTCTGACCACAAATATGCAACATATTTACAAAAGCTATACTATATTTTCCAGTTGTTTGGTGATGTGACCAACATGTTAATAGGGCATATACCTTTGGCAGACATGATTGGCCCCATCCCTGTTCTATTTTCCCCAGCACATGTTAAAGGCACTACCACACATAATTTATCTATGACCAAAGATGAATCTAAGCTCTGGAATGCTTAACCTAGTAAAAAAAATCAAACCTTTAAAGATGGAAACTCTACAAAACCAATGAGCAGGGAATACAAGGTTATGCCAAACATACCCTTGTTGATCCTTCCATGTAATCATAATTCTGACTGAACTCGTTTAGGCCAATAAATTCATCTATTGTCCACTGTGAGATATTTCCAACGGTAGAACCACCACCAAAAGACTCCTTAGCTGGTGGAAACCCCCCAACTCCTCCACCTTCGATAGGTAACAATTCATTGTAATCTGAGTTCTGAGGTTCTGTGGAAACCTTTCTAGAGATAGAAGACGACTTTGTATCAGAAATTTTCTCCCCAGAATCTGTCTTCAAAGACGATGAGGATGCACCAGGCTCTGTAGCTTCAAGGCCTACTCTTACACCGGTGAGAAGAAACCTCTGATGACCAGAGACATAAGCATTTGCTGTATGTATTGCCAAATCACATTTTCTGCAGAACAGTGCCCGATCCTCTAGACAGAAAAAATAGCCTAATGCTTCCTGTAAAGGGTAGCAGACTCTACCATCATCACAAGCTAATCTAAAACAGCAACCAGTTTTAATTCATTTAAACTGAACCAAGACAAAACAACAAAATAAGGATATGATTAAATGTTGACTGACGATGGTTTCAGTAACACATACTTTTTTTCAATAAGAATAAAATCATAATTTAATATAAATCCTCAAAAGTGTCAATTAAAAGAACTTATTCTTGTGAATGTTCACAAATGAAATTATGGCTCATTTGGTGGTCAAAGTAGGCTAAAAATGAGTAAATAAGAGAACAGGATACAGTAGAAAAGGACATGATCATGATAAGCTATCATCCTATCATGTGTTGGATGCACACTAGATAACTAGAAAATAGCAGCATAAATTGAATGTAAATGAAAAATATCATTACAAAAGGTAATGGTAGTGACGGGGTCGGTGTTGGTACCAGTGGGGCCACTGACAACGACAGTAATGGTAATGATGAGGCAAACACAACAATGACAATGGTGATGGTCTTGATGGCGACAATGACAAAACTGATTGTGGTCTCAGTAATGCACAAATGGTGAATAGTGTTCAACGNATCTTTTCACATAAATATACACCCAATGCCTTTAAAGAGAAGTCTTCCTAGCCATAAGTGATTGTCCTCATACGGTAGCCTCCCCGACCAAAAATATACCGTATCATCCTTACAAGAGAGTCTCTCCGACCAAAAATGGAAGACATTGCTCTCACACAATAGCCTCCCTGACTAATGGAACAAATCATCCTTCTAAATAATCTTTCCAACTAATGGAACAAATCATTCTTTTGAGTAATCTTTCCAACTAATGGAACAAATAACTCTTCCAAGTAGCTCCTTGACTAATGAAGCAAATAACTCTTCCAAGCTACCTCTCTGCTGCTATGGTAAAACACATTCACAAACACAACTTTTCAAAATATATATCTTCATAAAACCCATCTTTTTAATCCATTTATTCCAAATACTTGTATAACATACCAAAACTTTCATTCTATAATCACATTTTTTAAGAACAAGTCATATCCTACAAAACAATCACTCACTTAATAATAACAACGAATAAACTTTCAAATTTGATAAACTACTTTTAATTTTCTTGAATTTAGTTTATCAAAAATAATATATATAAAAAAAATGTGTCACAACCCATTTTTTCTTATACCACTGTCAGAGTTTCAACAAATCTCTTTCTATCCCAAAACTTAATCAAACACTGCACCCCGCAAATTTACGCACAACACGCACTCACACACACATTTTATGTGTTTTTTAAGCAAAATAAAAACAATTCACTAATTTCTAATATACGAATCTTACATAAGAAAAATTTATATATAAAGATCTTTTCCATTATATAGAAGTTTTTTTTTATATATAACTTAACTTCTAATATCTATATATAATATCGTATGTAACAGGTCTATTACATACAAATCTAAATCGGTATGTAATAATTCATAAGTAAAAATATTTATGTAATTGAAAAGTTATTTTTAACATGTTTTTATATCTCAAACTAAATAAATCCAATTATAACAAATTTTATATAAAATATCTTATTAAAGTATAAAAACTAACTAAGAATCTATTATTAAAGGTCAAATAAGGACATAAATATGCACTTATTTTATCTTTAAATAGTGGACTAGTACGAATGTTGGATTAAATTTTACCTGAACATATTTAACATGTATTTTTCAGATGATATAAATCTATATTTCATTTGTTGAATCTTTAATGTATAAATCTATGTGTGGTTTTCATAATTTTTTGTATATTGGTGTTTTAATGGAATTAGATTGCTTTTTGTTTGCTAATTACTATATTTCCTTGTATATTTTTTTTTTAATTAAAAATTTATTTCAATAATTTACTATTATAAGTGTTATTTATTTGTGATTTGCTATGATTATATTTTGTATATAAGCAAATATGGTGCAGAAGCTTTACAAGGATTGAAGTTTATTTGTTGACATTTTAAATAATTATATTTATATTCATATATTTTAAATTTGAAAGATTATATATCTAAAAGTGCTATTTTTACAGGAATAACTCATCTTTAACCTCATTTCTTGATTTTTTTTGTTTGTACACTTTTCTTTTCTAATCGCACAGTAGACATATTCTTCTTGAATGAAAATCATTTTCGCCAATCTGGATATAGAAATAGGCAATATCCTCTTTGTTTCCCTACAGCGATAACCTAAGTTTATCTTTCTAGAAAATTTAACGATGGATTTTGAAGCTCCATTATCTGAATGAAAGTACAATTTTATGCACAAGTTGTAAGATATTAGACATCATGATTGGGTTTGTCTTTGTCAAAGAATCCTAAACATTATTGATTATGGATATGAAAATGGTCCAAGTCAGCCATATCCATGTCTATGATCAACATTTGAACACCACCATGAAAATTTATCAAGATTTTATTGCCTCCAGGTCTATGTGTTTAAAATGTCACCTCTCATTTTCCAATTTATTTCAATTCCTTAATATTCCAAACACAAACTGTAATACTCTATGCATGACAGCTATTTTTTTAAAAAAAATATATTTATAATAAAACAAGTCTATGGAGCAGAATTAATCTTATTTACAATATTATAGAGTCACAAGTTCAATAAATATTAAACATGAGGTCTATTATTTGATCATTCAATGACATGAGCATAGTGTTCTAATTATTAAGTTAACTTTCAAGTTGTATTTTAGTCTAAATACATATACTCAATCTTGAACTAAATTTTTCTAATTTTTTTATTGATTTTAGTGTTTGTGATGTTTAAAAAAAGAAATTGCTCATATTTGGCATTTATTTACATGCAATATCGCTTATATTTCAAAATATATTGCTATGGCTTTAAAATTGTAAGTAAAATAGTTTATGCTCTAACATGTCATTGATACAATAAAAATAATTTTAAATATCTTAAATAAGATATTGATGATTAACCTTAATCATATTATTTTAAAAGACTTGATCTTGAAATAATATCAATGAATATTTTTTTTATGTAAAATTCAAACTTCTTCTTCATATGACTTAATTAATTAGATGTAAATAATTATTAATTAATAAATAAATGACCTAAAAATTAAATGTAATCATATTTAATTAACTAAAATCATTAGAAGTTAAAGTAAGAAGGAAAGAATTTAGTTAAACATTTTAAAATTTATGGAGAATGAACGAGATTTTATCTAAAAATAAGATTAATTTAAAATATATAAGTGAGTATAAATCTTGTTTTAAAAACTAATTTTATAAAATTGAGTAAGACTTAAAAACATTTTATTTTATAAATAATTCAAGACACTAAAGGTTTTTCATGATTAATTAATTACTTTTTGGTCCACTCATGTGGAATATGATTTATACAGCTAGCACATTATTTGTCTTGGTGTTTCATTCTCAATCACTCGAATTCAATATAAGAATAAAAATAATATGTGGCTATAATTTGATAAGGATATTTTTGTTGTGAGACATGTAGGGTGGGTGTGAAGTATGAGCATTTATCTAAGGAGATTTTTTAGGTGAAATAACGTTATCATACGAATGAGCTTGCAATAATTATTCTAAGGAATATCGTTCTTGTAGGTCCTCTACACTCAGATTCACCACTGCGCACATTCAATTTCAGGTCTTTCATTCTTCCTTTTTCTCTCTTTCACATGGATCACTACACCAAATAAAAAAGAAAAAAAATATACTCTCTACTTCGACTTCAACATATTTCAATGCGTTATACTTTCTTTTTTCCAACAAGAAATTTAATTAATAAAAAACAACACACTATGAAATCTTAGACGATACCTCAATTAAGTTTATTTTATATATATATTTAATAATTTTACTTGAACAAAATTTTTTAAATATAATTATTTTCTTTTAATTCTTTAATTTGTCTTTTAAAATGAAAATCCTGACAAAACTTTAAGCTTTTAAAAAGATAATAGTAATTAATCTTAATAATTCGATAAAAATGAATTTCAGCTAATTTTAAATGATATTATTTTTCTTGAAAGTTAAATTACGAATGTGTTGCATTTTAGTTATTTAAATAATATAACATTTTAAAGTATTTTCTTCCATTTATATTTTTTACTATTGTTTATGTATATAAAATTAAAGTACTTTTTTTCTTTTCAAAATGAAGTAATCCAAAAATCCAAGAGTTTGTCGTGTAGTGGGCAACTAGTGACAAACTTGAAACACCTTTATCACCAATGTGCAATGAACAATCAAAAGAGGTTTATAAACAGACAAGGCATCACTTTCCACAAATAATGAGTTATAAGTTCTTATCTAACTTAACCATAAGTCTTTCTCAAACTTTATGAAAATAATAATAATAATAATAATAATAATAATAATAATAATAATAATAATAATAATAAGAATAATTAATAATTAAGACTTATAAGAGGCACATTACACGTGCATCAACATTATCTTAACCTTTTTCGCTTAGTTGCCCATTTTTAGTAAAGTAAACTCTACACTAAATCGATTAACTTTTCATTTAAGATATTTTCCTTTTAGTATCAATAAAATTATTTTTATTATTGTTATTTACTTTAAAATCTAATATAGTGTCATTTATAACATTATTTTTTAATTCATGCAAATTTTAAACTAATTAATGATGCAGACATAATTTATAGTTTAAACCAATTAATAATATTCGTCTTTTGATCATTAATATCACTCCCATCTTTAATTATTCTTGGCTTTTAATCAATAATATCACTCAAGAAACTCCATGCTTTTTATCATTCCCTTGAATGTACGTTTAAAGAACTTCCTACCGAACTAATTTTGAATTAAAATGTTTTCAAAAATTAATTCTTGTCACAAAATTTAAAATACAATGTTTACTCCATTAAATTTTTAACAGAAGACTAAATATATAAACATTTATTTAAAATAACATAAATGTAAACGAAAATTTAAATAACTCTATAAAACCTAGCTCACAAAGGTAACAAACAAGTTAATTTGATATAATATTATAAGAGATTCAACACA